GAAATTATGACCAATTCATTTCGAGCTCTGACTTGGGTCTGACACCGAATCCACTTGATGACATATACCTGTATATTTTTTCAGTACCAACTTCCATGGATCAGAAATAATAAATCTGAGTAATATTGCTTGATATCTTAATTGGTTTTTGCAATTGAAAATAGTTGCTGCTGCGCAAATTTTCACTCAAAAAATATATTTCCTCGTAGAATAGCTACCAAGGCCTACAATCCGTGTTTCGTACAGATTGCCGAAACGACTTTGATAGCAGCAGCAAAAGTTACGGAAAGCAAAAGCGGCAAGATCTCTACCTCAATCCGATGCCGTCGTCCTCTTCATTATCACCATCAAATTCGTTTCTATGGTTAATTTCATCCACTGATGGTGCATCAGTTCCACTGTCTTTATGTAATTTGGGAAAACGATTTCGATAATACAATCCGAGAACCGGATCCAACTTCTCCCGACGTCTTCCAATGCCCACTGCAAAAGATAAAGCTGCAGTTTATGGAAAGTTGGACTAAGTTTGTTTATTTAATTATTCTTCTTAGGTTCTCCCAAGGTACGTCACAAAACCCATGAGAAACAGAATCAAAAGACAAAAGCAGCATCTACAGAGCTTTATAGACTCGTTTCCACGGAAAATTCCACGAACAGTTTCTAGTGAAAATGGTGTGCAGTTCATATCGTCGCTCAGTCGTTGCGGTGTTCCGGAGAGGTGGAATGAGCCTGCTCCCGCTTCATCTTCTAGCAGTAGTGGGGTATGTGACAAGAGAATCGTAATTGGCCGCGCTGTGAGCGTCGCGCGACTCGTCGCGCCCGCAAATGGATGGTTACAGGTAGTAGATGGCGACAGCAGGCATTTCAGAGAGCCGAAAATGGCCATGTCTACAATGACGCGGTCTACATGAACTTCGGTGCTCCAATCGACAGGTTACTACGAGTTAAGAAAACGCCGCCCTCTCGCCGCGCGCGGCGGAGCAGCAAATTACGATTCTCTTGCTCGTTTCCCGCAGTAGTGGTCACTTATTGATCGATTTGGTAAGGAAACAAGCAGTGGTACAAAACGCCGCGTAGACTTCATTCTATGCCTCCTGAGGCATTGTTCACAGTCTGCGACCCTGCGTTTCTCTCGAAAGGAACAGCTCGGCGAAAAGCTCAAGATACGTATCGATTGGCGATTCGGCGAAGAGTTCGCGAATGAGCGAAACGGTTTTGAAATGTATCGACGGGCGGTTCGGCGGAGCGTTTAGTCGCAAAACAGCTTGACAGCACGGGCGCTTTTCTCTAGGCGAGGCCAGCGCAATTGACATGCATCTATTGCTTTTCGCCGAACCGCCGAACCACGGACGCGTTTCTCCCGAGCCGTTGGCTATTCTCCGATCAATAAGTATTTATTGTTTTTTGCCGGACCGCAGTTTCTTCAGGGTCGCAGACTGTGAACGATGCCTGACACCGCCCTGATTGACTGCAGCGATATCAGGCGATATCCTCCCATTCAATAAGCAGCGACGGTGATGCTTTTTTCAAAAATGAGCTGTACACTCATCTCCAAGGATCCTGGCTCTGGCCATGACGTAAGCTCTTGCCGTGAAGTGAAGGGGTCCGCAGCTACAGAAATGCCGCGATGGAACGCTTGACTTTCATTTTATTCGCGTCTCAGGGTATATGTCAACCGCGGAGCCTCTCTCCTCCTTCCTTTTTTTCCTCCTTTCACCTTTCCCTTATTTTTCTCTTTTCCTTCTTTATTTTTCCCTTTCGAATGCTCCGCCGGAGGATGCGACCAGAAAATGCCTCCGGACTCTCATTACCAGGGGATATCCAGAAGTCTTGTAACCCGCAGATCCCACTTGTCGGAGACGTCAAGTGGAGACCAGACGTCCACCTTTCACTGCACTCCAACTTCATCTCAATGTTCTTTCAAATGACAAGAAAAGGCTTACTTTTATAGACTGGAACTTGCTTACCTCCACATGGCACGAATCCTCATCGCAGGTGAGCGTACAGCTTGTCTTCAAGTACTCGAATGAATGCGCTCCTCTGCATCACCTGACCTTCGTCAACTACTTCAGCAGCTGCAGCAGCTCTTTCCTCTTCAGCCAGTCGCAACGCACAACATGCAATACGACTAGAGCGATCGGCTTCATTGAAAACTTCGGCGATGCTAGAAAACGAGATTTTAGTTGTTCGAACCGGGTGACTTTCCACAAAATTCCAAACGTACCTGCGATCTAGACTAGCTTCCTCCTTCCATTTTCCTAAGCAATCTGTTATAACCTTGGCCCTATCATATTCACAATTTACCAGTGATTCTTCAGCATGAGCAATAAGACCTCTTGGTACTTCGGACTGCAATAAATATACAATCAACCTTTTTAACCGGTTATTATAACTGCAACTGATACTATTTAGTTTTCTTAAAATGTAAGCGGAGCACTCCGCGACGGGGGAGGGGGAATTTGTACTTTCGGTACTTCCCTTCGCCATGACAAGCCGTCTAGAGCTATTTCATGAGCTTACAAGAGTTGACAGGACAAGCTTGCTCCAGCTCCACAAGAGTTCACAGGTTTCACCAGAGTGAGACTTGTAAACCGGAACTAGTGAAGCAGCGAAAGTGCAAAATGCCCCCCCCCCTTGCCGATCTGCGCCTGTAAGTGCAAAATTACCTCGTTGGTAAAATCGTCGGTATCACCGCCGTCTAACAGAATAGCAAAATAACGAAAGGCGTCGCTGACATTGTCATTTTGAAGTCGTCGGCAAATCATGATAATAAATCTCACTAAAGCTGGCCACGATTCCTTCGCAAAGCTTACTCGGCATATCTCCTGAATAACATTTTTCTCTAAGTTTCATATCACCGCACAGAAAATAATTCTGAAAAAAATTACCATCAGTATGAAATTGACCACGTGCTCAAGAAAATGAGGTCGAATTTGTTCGATTAAAGAGAATATTTCTTCAATAACATGGCACATTTTCTTGTCAGTCGAGAACTCTGTGTACAGCCAAGCCAATATTCTGAAAAACAGATAACTCAAGCATAGCGTTCTCATAATCGGCGCTGTCCGGCTTGGGGGGGGGGCACCCTAAGCCGAACATCGCCTAATAATCCCATTTTTGACCACCAAAAATCATATGCTGACGTAATCTACAGCGCAGGTTCCACTGCAGCTGGATTACTTCGCTGGTGCTGGACTTCTCCACGTGGAGGCCGGTTTGTACATCACTAGACCTCAAGGGTCATTGTTAGAAGGCACACTGACAGTCGGTCGTATGTCCGGATCCTTTCAACTATTGTTCCCCTCCCATGAACGCGCCTCCTCTCTTTATCGTTGAAACGAGGGGCGCTTTTAATAGGAGGGCTTAATGCTTTGGTGGCCACGCCCCCACGATTAGCATGGACTGGGCCTTCAGGCTAAAAACGCTGACTTCTGTGATGCTGAACAAACTGAAATCCAGCAAGACGAAAGCGATGTACATTCCCCATTACATTTCAAAACCACTGCAACTTCCAAATAC